CTTGTCTCCATGGTAGTGCCTGGAATGGTCAAATCCACTTTGCATTTATTAAATTACTGGTAGTTTTACGTCTTAAAAATATCCTCTTACTAGGCCTGTCACAGTAACCATTTTTGAAGTGCAAAAATGACAGTTCATCATCTATACTTATAATGAATTAATTAAAGGTGATAGGGCTGTAATGATGTCCAAGTCTCACAATACGATACTGTCACGGTATGAACCTCATGGTACGATATTTACTGTGATATCATGGGAAAGCTCACGATATGGTGGGGAGGCTCACGATTAGGGAGGTAACAATTTCCAAATCTCTCGGTAAGATATTTTCACAATATACAATTCACGGTACAATATTTTGTGGAGGCTAACAAAACTGTTAATATGCTAAGTTTTTCTCTTAAAATGCCTTGACAAGACTTAATCCAAAAAACTAAGACTTAAAAGTGCTTGTACTGTTATTTCTTCATGTAGTCTACACTGAAATGGAGCAAAGGATCATGGTCTATGTAGTTCCCTCTTTGTCTTTTTTAACTATTGCTGCATCATAACTCTTCATTTAAGCAAAGAGACTTGTAATTCGATATATTGTGATGGTCCACGATATTATTGTGAGAACTTTGGCAATACAATATCACAATATTCCGGTTATTGTTACATCCCTAGTAGATGATAAATACTATAGCAACCAAACCATTAAGCGGAATTATCCCCAAAAAAGTATTCTAAATCTACAATATTGTTAAAAAAAAAAAAAAAAAAAAAAAAACATGAGCTGCAATAAATAAATAGCAAAATGCAACACAGTTAGTTTGTGTTTATAATGAGTCATAGAAGTTTATAATTAAACCTTCTACAGAATAAATAATAATAATCCCACTAGGACAATGAAATAGTACCCATTTTAAATATTGTCCCCCCAAAAATGAGAGCTTCATATATCATGTATTGAACAATAAGTCCAAATAGTAATGATCATGACTGGCCTAATTCTTACTCTCCACAGACCTGACCTGTAACTTAGATTGATGGCATCATAAGTCTCTTTATTGCTTTGCGTGTTATTCCACACAAAGCAATAACATCACTATGGAAACAAGTAGAAAAGTTACAGAGGGCACTGTTAAAGGTACACTGTGCAACATTTCTGGTGGAGATGTTATTGCTTTGCCTGGAATGTTCCTTGGTATGACTTTACACATAATATCTAGAATTGGTTGTTGTTGTTGTTGTTGTTGTTGTTTAGACAAAGCGACACAATTTCCATGGTGAGAAGCACGTGGCAGATCCTCCACTAGAAATGTTACACAGTGCACCTTTAAATACTGTATTGTTATTAAGTTATTTTGCTTTTGTCGTAACACCTACTAACACCTAAAAATCTTTAATTGTAACACAAATGTACAAAAATACTAAACATTGCTACAGGAAATCGCAGCATAAGAAGAGTGATAGGACAGGGTGTAATGTGCGTGACCTTGTAGTTAGGGGATGATTTGTTTCCTCTCCGGTATCACAATAACACACAAGTCCACCTGAGCACATATTTGAAGCGGCCGCACTGAGGAAGAGCAATCAGAGTCTTCCTCATGAATTGGTTTCTGATACAATGACAGAGGAAGATAGGGAACAGCAAATACCAGCGCTTTCTGGCATCCATTTTCACAACAGATAATAGCCATTCTCATTCAAACTAATATTCAGACTTGATCTCTGGCCCTTCACTTTTTATGGTATAGTCAATCTTTATGTTTGCAGCACACAGCTCTGTTAAGCAGACATTTTATACACAGCCACGCTTATACTTGGAAATATTTGGTAAATATTACTTGGATTCTAACTGTAAATAAATTACTACCGCTACTGCTACTACTACTACTACTACTACTACTACTACTACTACTACTACTACTACTACTACTGCTACTAACAGTACAACCAGCACTATTACTACTACTACTACTACTACTACTGCTACTACTGCTGCTACTACTACTGCTACTACTACTACTACTACTACTACTGCTACTACTACTACTACTACTACTACTGCTACTACTACTACTACTACTACTACTACTACTGCTACTACTACTACTACTACTACTACTACTACTACTACTACTACTACTACTACTACTACTACTACTACTGCTACTACTACTACTACTACTGCTACTACTACTACTACTACTACTACTGCTACTACTACTACTACTACTACTACGCTACTACTACTACTACTACTACTACTACTACTACTACTACTACTGCTACTACTACTACTACTACTACTACTGCTACTACTACTACTACTACTACTACTACTGCTACTACTACTACTACTGCTACTACTACTACTACTACTACTACTACTACTACTACTACTACTACTACTACTACTACTACTACTGCTACTACTACTACTACTACTACTGCTACTACTACTACTACTACTACTACTGCTACTACTACTACTACTACTACTACTACTACTACTACTAGCTACTACTACTACTACTACTACTACTACTACTACGCTACTACTACTACTACTACTACTACTACTACTACTACTACTACTACTACTACTACTACTACTACTACTACTACTGCTACTACTACTACTACTACTACTGCTACTACTACTACTACTACTACTACTACTACTACTACTACTACTACTACTACTACTACTACTACTACTACTACTACTACTACTACTACTACTACTACTACTACTACTACTACTACTACTACTACTACTACTACTACTACTACTACTACTACTACTACTACTACTACTACTACTGCTACTACTACTACTGCTACTACTACTACTACGCTACTACTACTACTACTACTACTACTACTACTACTACTGCTACTACTACTACTACTACTACTACTACTACTACTACTACTACTACTACTGCTACTACTACTACTACTGCTACTACTACTACTAGCTACTACTACTACTGCTACTACTACTACTGGCTGCTACTGTGTACTGTACTACTGTGTGTGAATGGGTGAGTGGTTCCTTGTTGTAAAGCCCTTTTGAGTGCCTTGAAGGTGGAAAAGAGCTGTATAAAAATGTGACCTTTTGCCATTTACTACTATGACTACTGCAACTACTACCACTATCACCACCACTACCACTGTTACTACTACTTCTACAACACCTCTATTTCTACTGCTGCTAGTTACCACAATAACCACCATGGTTATTATGCTATTGCTTTACCTGGGATGTTTGACAGTAAATCATTCATCCAGGAAAACAACTGAGTGACTCCACCAGGCCAAGTTACAGGTCAGATCCCTGGAGAGGGGAGCACATTCACAATATGTCATGCTTGCCAAGAACTTTCTGGCAAAACAACCCCTTGTAATTCAATAAATGTTAACTGCCTTGTTGTGCAACTACCTCTAACTATCTCCAGAGTGGTGTGCCTCTTATCAGAAAAGTTGCATAGTGCATCTTTAAAAGTGCATTTAAATAAAAACACAAATCACATCTTCTGCAGCTCAACCCATCACTCTAAAACAAATGAATTCTATCACCAGCATTTCAATAAATCTTGTCCGTATGTTACTACTGCTACAGCCAAAACTACTACAAGGTCAAAACGTTTACTACCCACGTCTATTGGCTTTCATGGCCTAATAATACTTCAGATTTTTATGGAGAGAGACTGAATTGCAAAACCAGCCGAATATCGCATTATAATTTTTCCAATATTACATTCTAAAACTGCCGAAGAAAAACCCTGCTCTGATCCTTACAGCTTATGACTTCTCTCGTCTTTTTTTTTGGTCTTCACGAGTCCATACGCAGTCATGCATATATGTATTCAGCTCCACACCTGACAGAGGGAGACAGGAAATGAAAAGAGGAGGCAGAGGCAGGTACGTCCTCAGAGACTCAGATTAATGTGAGAATATTCTAATGAAGTGTCTGATAGTATTTAGGAGGAAATGAGCTAATGTTTTCCAGCCACTTAAAATTGTCAGAAGCGGAGGATGTCACAAAAAGAAATGGTGAATTAACCATTGAGTATGAGCTGTCCGTGCTGATATTAAGTCCATGCAAATCACCGTCTGTAATATGCACATGATAAACAAGGAAGGAAGAAAGAGGCTTGATATGGTGTGAAATTGAAATACGTGTCTGATAGAGGTTAGATATATTTGCAGAAAAAAAAGTCATGGTATTATTTTAGTTAAATGATGCTACATCAGTCAAATAAATGTGTATTCATCATAGTATGTCTTCAGAGTTTTTGATGGAGTATGGAATTAGTTAATATTAAATTTCTCAATATAAACTTTTTAAGGCTGATTTGTATTGGAGAAAACTTGACAGAGGCATGAGGAGTGGGCAACATTTGAAAGTTAATTGCTCATTTTAATATAGTTTATTATTTAAAGGGCCCATATTACACTATTTTCTGATCTGTGTTATAATGTTGTTTCCTAATCAAAAACAAAATAAAAAAGGACTATTGTTTTGTCTCAAAAAGGACACAGAGGAGGGACACTTTTGTCCTGAGGGCTGTTTCTTTCCTCAAACTGCCCTGACACTGGACCAGATTGGTGACCCTAACTTACACTGAGATTTTGTTGGAGCTTTCTGTTATTATTATTATAATCAATGTGCTTAAATTGCACAGTTCCTCTGGTGGTAATACAGAAAGTGCTCCACTGTGTTTTTAAACTTCATACACTAGAATTAGAATAATTTAGATAACGTTTCTGCATATTGATAAAGAGCTTTTCATCAGCCCCAGCTTTGAGGCTCACTGTTCGTATACCAGCATACACAAACTTTATGGAAGTGTCTTGCTCAAGAATTGCAGTATACAATGACACTAAGAACTGGCTTTGAACCATCAGTCAGAGAGTTTCCCTGGTCTGTCCCATAGCTGCTTGAGTATAGTAACTCTAATCAAAATGGATTTAAAAAGCAGTGGAGTGAAAAGGTTAAATCTCACCATTGAATCGGACAGCCCTGATGTGGTTGAGCAGCTCTTTTCCGTCGATGTTGTTGGCCATTCGTGGACACAGACCGGGGTAACCGTAACACAGCTCACGGTGCATCCGGTGCAGAGCGTGAGCCATGGCGTACACCGCATCCATCACAAACTGGACTTTTCCCTCCTGCTCGTAACTGGAATCACGACCAACCTTCTCCAGACCTGAGGGAGAAAAACATGGACTTCAGCACCAAAAGGTCAACAACAGATGTGACAGGTATAAGACCATACTGACTTAGAAATGTGCTTCATGTACACCCCTGATTAACTAACATTATTTCTTGTTTCATTATTCCAGTATATTCCACTGTACCAAAAAAACAGGGGGGCAGTTTGGTCACCACGCCCTCAGATTTAAAAAAATAAAATAAAATAAATTCAGTGCCGCATGTGAAACAAAAGAGCTCAAATACATGTTTTTCAGTTTTATTTTGTTTGTTTGTTTTTCTCCTAAGCTGCCATATTTGTTTTGATGTATTTCCCTGACTGGCTAATCCACGTGTCATCTCATCTGATATTCACCAGTGATCAGACTCAAATCTTTGTAATTGATTTATATTTTCGGATATTTCACTGTATAATTGAAACATATTTGATCAACTGTCAGGATGCCGTTATACAATTGTACCGGTTACCCCCACAGTACACACCTGCTAAATTGTTAAAATAGAAAAGAAGTCAGACTGTAGAAGAAGTCAGCACTCATTGAGCCAATGACAGATCATTCCTGGGAGTCCATTCTCACCCCATCAGAGACCAAGAACAACATGTTCCCCCTTTACGTCCTCTCAACCTCTGATAATGGCCTTTCCTTGTACATGGAACAGAAGTGTTCTCCCATCTCGATACTTTATCCTCATTTTACCTCGTACCAGAGGAATGGCAGACTATATGGGTATTGTCAGTTCATTTAGCATACAGACAATATTGATGTACAGAAAAGAGATTTATTATGTGATTGTCAAAGTGTATCACATAGACAAAAAAAATCAAACATGACTGGGTAATAACTGGGTGGCAGAGTGTCTATGTGGTTAGCACTTTCACCTCACAGCAAGAAGGTTCCAAAAACCACCTCAAGATCTGGAGATTGCTAGATGTTATAGCATATGTCATTGTGAGAATATTAACAATATCACCCAGATAGCATTTTATTCCAGAAATCAACTCATGAAAAATGAGCTAATTCCTGGAATGATGTGATATTGTTAATATTGTTATAATCACATTAAAAAAAACTTCAAATCAGAGGAAACAGTGGACTTTATTATAATGCTACACAGTGTGCATAATTCATAATTAACCAAAGCTCTGAGAAAAACAAATTGTATTTTGGGGCATGACCCTTTAGTACATTTTAAGCAGAGTGCAAAATATGTTCTATTAGTAAGTGAAGATACTGTCTGCATTTTATCTCTCTGAATTATAAACACTAAAAAAGAAGTATTAATTAAGAACTCCCAGTGGCACTTTCCACACCTTACCTGAGTATTGTATGGGGCAGGGTGCCTGTGTTTCTCCTCTCAGTAACTCAGCGTGACCTACATGTAGCGTCTCCTCTGATCAGTGCTGTGTAATTAATGACTGCAGCAGACTAAAGTTTAAGCTCTTGAGCTGGCATTGAAACATGAATTTGGATTTGCATTTGGCCTTGGCGCCTGTGTGAGTGCAGATACACAAACATGCAAATAACCTCAGAAACCTCATTCATGCAGAGGGAACGGTAACAGCTCATTAGCACAATAAGCTCATGAGAGACAACAGGGTAAAAATAAAGCTACCTTGATGCATTCAGACGCACGTCAGTTATAGCTAATAAAACTGGTATCACAATATAAATAAAAAACGCACATTGTAATTTCCTCACAATGGCCTATTGCCATTTATTTTCTGTTGCAAATGTTTTATCGACTGTTTCTTGTCTAATTTATTTATTTTGTATGGATTTAATAACAATGCATCAGTGCTCTTTCCAGATGGTCAAAGTAGCTTTACATTTGTGTGTATTATTTATTCACTTCATACTCAGTGTAGGTTAATGTTATAGCCACAGCTGCCCTGGGGTAGACAGATAGAAGTGAGGCCCTTCTGACCTCCACCATCACCCCACATTCACACTAGTCAATGTGGGTGAAGTCAGGTGTATTGGCACTTTACCCACACTTCATCTGCATTTGTATTGTGAGCTGGTTTGATACTGTAAGTTCAATGTTATAAGTGATGTGTTCCCTCTATGTACATTATGCACCTACAACACACAGGCACTTTCAGAAACGCTGCAACTCTTTAGACACAATTAATTTATCCCCAAGACTAGACTAACACTAAAACTAAAATCTAAGCTCTCATCAAAAGTTTGAGGCACAGAAAACATCCCACTAACTGGAACAACTTCATTTAATAATTATTAGAAATATATTGGGCAGTGGACTGCAGCTGGCTGTGTGGGTTCCCCCTGGTCCTCCGATTCCCTCCATTAACTTAGAACCAGCCAAATTAGACTTTCCCTCCAGCCCAGGCTGATCTGTTAAAGGAAGCACTTTCTCATGCTATTTCCGATTTCATATTTATAGTCCAACCAAGGGAACAAATTAGACCATAAAATGTACAAATAAAATAAAAATGCTGGACAATATTGTGGCACAGTTGTAATGTTATTTCAAAAAGGCTTGAAACTAACTTCAGTAGCATACTGCTTATTTATGTTAATTAGCTACTTGCTTATTGCTAAATCAATTGACCTTTTTTGACATTTCATTATTTTTCACATTTTACAGTGATTGTGGGGCTACCATGGTTTTGCTAGATTTTTGAAATCAGACAGAAAACAAGATGCATTAAAAGGTCCTATATTACACAAAATAGATTCTTGTGATGAACTTTAAATCATGTTAAAATGTTGTTGCCTCATCAAAAACATGCCTGGAGTTGTGTTTTGTTTCATTTACACATGTTGAATAATCCTGCATTATCAGTGTGTCTATATGCTCTGTTCCACCTTGTGATGTCATGTAGTTGTAGTTTTCAAGTTAACAAATACCTTTTACCTTTTGTTCAGTAGAAATTCCAGGGCTGAAATTATCCAAATGATTCCAGTGAAGGTGTATGGAGTTTAAAAGCAGAGGAGCACATACATTGACATAACAAGTGTTTTCTATGCAGAGTCTGTGTGTTAAGTATGAGCAAATAAAACAAAAACAAAAAAACACACACCTCCAGATCCGTTTGTGATGAAGAAACAACATTATAACATAGATCAGAAAACAGTGTAACATGGACTTTTTAAAGTTGTAGAATAGTAGAAAGTACAGTATTCAAATGTGTTGCGCTCATTCAACTTAGAGACTGACTAACTCCAGTGATGGATTTGTGAGGGAACCAAAGCTGAGTCACTACCTCCTGTGCCCGATCTCTGTGAAGGCTGTGAGCAGGGAGCTAATGGACGGGCACCACTTAAATATGCCAAATGTGCTAAAGGCTAAACTTTCCTGAGAACCAGTCAATGCGTTTTTCGCAACATCTGAAGAATTTGGAAGAGGTAAAAGTTTCTGTGCATAGATGAAATATTGTCTTCCTTTTTTGCAGTATCACCATAATATCCACCTCCAAATGGGAACATTTTTGGGCACTTCAGTCACACAAGGTAAAAAATCGTACACAAATATTTCTACTGTAATATGTTAAGTCAATTTCAACTTTTTGGTGCTCTGCTTTGCCTGAAATGTTCCACAGTATGACATTAAACAGCTCGACCTTCCATTTATTCAATTACAGGTGCTTTTATAGCTCAAAAATAAATATGTGCATTCTGACTGTGAACGGGGTCGCTTCTCTTCAGATCTGACCTGTAACTTGGTCTGGTTTGGTCTCCATGAAGATAGAAAGGTTTAATGCCATACTGTGAAACATGCCAAACAAAGCAATAACAGGACGGACCCACCAGAAAAGTTACACAGTGCACCTTTAGAATCACTTTCCAAAAATATTATAAATACCGTATTTTTCGGACTATAAGTCACTCCGGAGTATAAGTCGCACCAGCTAACAGCAATAAAGAACGACAGGCTGAATAGGCATTAATATGTTAATGTAACATATTAACATTTATTCAGATAATTATAGCATAAACAACAGAACATAACTTTACCAAACTCACTAAATCATTAAATCCATTGACTCTATTGAATCCTTCATCCTCATCCTTGTCACTGAAGTCCATGCTTTGTCATCCAGTGACTTCCAGGAAAGTTTCTTTCTGTTGCTCGATTACTGTTTTCAGTTGCATATTTCACAACTTGCAGCAGGACAGTGTTTTTTTTTTTCTGCCGGAGACATGCGCAGAAAACTGATAGACAAGCCTAGAGCACCCACTCTCGATGCTGTCAGAAAATTTTAATATATAAGTCACTCCGGAGTATAAGTCACAGGACCACCCAAACCATGAAAAAAAGTGCAACTTATAGTCCGAAAAATACGGTCCACAGAAAGTATTTTGTTGTATATTGTCTTGCAAGTAAAAATACTACATAGTCAAATTAAATATTCCATGTATCTAATGGTCTTATAGCAATAAACTGTAAGTTTTCTAGTAACAGTATGCCACTTGCTTGTGTCCATGGAGATGTTGTTGCTTTGTCTGAAATCTTCCGCAGTGTGGGTTTAAACATAAAGAAAGAAAGCCCTGCACAAAGTAGTACGATTTTTTTTGCTGGTATTTTAAGCAAAATACAAATAATAGAGAAAGAGAGAGAGATACAGAAAGTATAATACTTTTTTTTTTTTTAAGTACTGCTAGATAAATGTATGCATAATGCCAGAAGCCCCCGCCAGAAAAGCTGTGATGTAAATAAGTTTGTTGAATACTCGCATGGCTCATGATCTGTTTAACCATTTAAACTTTTCATTATGAGCTTTAGCACTGGCTGGACCCCGGAGTTTTCGTTCACCATAAAGATTATTACAAAATGACACCAATTACAGTAGCACAGTGAAAGTGAGCATCGTTTTGCAGATTGGTCCCAGCGCATCGGGGCAAACTGCAGTTCAGAGCTACAGAATAATGATGCAACATAAACAACATCGCACCAAAATAAGAGTCAGATATTGAACCGTGCAAAACCGTGATCATTTAAGTGCCACAAACCAACGCCATGTGTCAGAGT